TGGATAAAGCCTATCAATTTTTTTTTCCAAGTTTAACAACTTTTGATTCTACCATCTCATTTTGTTATTGCCTCTACCCCTTAGTGTTCTGTTGCCCTGTTTGGATATTTTCACGTTAGAATTTCTACTTATTTCTTTGTATACTCTTATTTCTTTGTATATTTGTTGAAATGCTTTTTTCACTTGTTTCATGAGTGTTCACAATTGCATATTCTATATTTTAACAATAGTTTCTTTAAAATGCTTGTCAAAAAATTTCAATATCTGTATCATCTCAGTCTTTGTAGTTTTTGAGATTTTCCAAGCCTAGTTTTTACCCTAGATAGATTAAATCCTCTATTTTAACACACATTCAGTTCATTCAATGTCATTTATACATATTATAGCCCACATTTGTGTGCTGTGTTACACATGTCAAATAGGTTTCCAAGGTTTTTGCAGTGCTAATTTGTTTTTCCCTGTTTGTTTACTACCCAGAGGACCATATGAAGTCCATTGTTGCAAACTATACCATCAGGATATGGCCATAACTTCATGCATGGATTTAAAATGTCTCCTTCTCTAAACCCTAACTCTTTGTATCCCTCCTTCCCCTTGTAGATGGGAAAAGGAGTAATGGCAATTATTTGCTTACTTTAGTGAGATGTAGAGATAGTCAACAGGGATTATATGCCACAATTTTAATGGCCACTGTGCCAATAGGGAGGGAGAGGTAGTCTCTTTTCACTATATTTTGTTTTCTCTCTAATTTAGGATAGAGCAGATTTGCTCCATCTTACAGACTCTTCAGTGCCTAGTGATGAATTAAGGAATATCAACAGTGCTTCTCTTAGAGCTGTTCAACAGGCCTTCAATCTAGTCTCCTTAAGTGCCTGGTCCACAGGGAGAAAGGGAACTGTACCCATTAACCTTAGTGCAGTGAAAGGACAATTGACAGGATTCTACCCCAGGAACTCCACAGCATTTAGTGGAGATGAGAGAGTGCATGTCTTTTCTTGCCTTAGTACATATCAGAGCCACTTTTATCAAACTCAACTCTGCAATCTTCACACCATGCTGCAGTCTGGCTGGGCAAAATAACCGGGGAGTGACAAGCAACTTGTGAAGATTGAAACAGCGGGAGCCCCCTCTCTGCCGGACAGCAGAGGTACATATACCCAACTAATTACACACAGCTTAACTTAATTAACATCATCTAGATACAGCAGTCAGTCATTAAGGAATCCTCATCATAATGGCTCGCTGGCATTGGCTCACAAACCACTCCTCCTGGCACACTGCCAGGCGCCATCTTAACTTGGTTGTAGCCCTCAACAATACCACCTAGTATTTAGGGCAACAATTTTTTCTTGGTCTAGAATAGGACAGGTATAGTGAAGTTGATTTGACTCTGAACATTCACCCTCTTCCTGGTACCTAGATAGAAAGGCTACTCAAGTGTTTAGACCAAGATATGTAGGGGACAAAAAGAACCCAGGAAATACCCTGGTTTCATTCTTTGATTACTAAGATCCCTAGCCAGTCTAATTTCTTTTTGTTACTTTCCAAATATTTCTGCTAGTTACTTCATGAATTTTGCCAATATTTTTATTTGTAATTAGCAAAGGAATAACATTTTAGAATGATACCTCTGTTCCATATTTCAAGAATATTTCCAGACATGATTGAATAAACAAAACCCACTGTATTCCTTGCAATTCTCCTGCCTTAGCCTCCTGAGTTGCTGGGATTACAGGTATGTGCCACCGTGCCCAGCCAAAAAATCTTTATCCACAAATTATATCATATATAAAAATTGAATCAAAATGAACCAAAATCAGGGATGGGACTATAGCTCAGTGACAGAAGACTTGCCTGGCATGCACAAGGCCCTGGATTAGATTCCCAGCACCCCACATACAAATGCAAATGAATCAAAAGCAGATCTCATCAAGATGGTAGACTGGCCCATTTTCCCTTAAAACAACAATTTTTCAGCCATCATAGGCAAAAGTGCCATTGTGAGAGCTTTGGGATTCTGATAGGAAGTTGTAAAACCCCAGTGGAACCTAGGACCTAAGAAGGCCAATTTAAGAGGGTATCCTTGTGCAGGTTCACTAACTGTAATGCCAGGTTCAAATCACAAACATCCCCATTCCCCTCAACTATGGCCATATTCAGACTGAATCTTGTCATCAGGATCTGTTGTACATCATGGTAATTATAGTTAACTACATATTGTATACTTGAAAATTGTTAAGAATAGATTTTATGTTTTCTTTTCAACCAAAAAAAGAGCAAGTATGTGTGGTAATGCATGTTGTTAATTAGCATGATTTAAACATTCCACAATGCATATTAATATCAAACATATTATATGGCATAAATATTTGTAATGAAAAATAAAATAAGAAAATGTGGCACATATATGCACAATGGAATATTACCCAGTCTTAAAAATGAAGAAAATTCTCTCCTTTGCAGCAACATGCATAGGCATGGAGACCATTGTATTTAGTGAAATAAGCCAGGCAGAGAAAGATAAATATTGCATGATTTCATTTATGTGTGGAATCTAAAAAAAAATTGGACTCATACAAGCAAAGAACAAAATGGTTATTACCAAGGTTGGCTGGGGATGGGGAAGGATGGGGAAGTATTTGTCAAAAGTTTCATTAGACAGGTTTAATAAGTGCTGGAGAACTATTATTTAGCATGGTGACTATAGTTAACGATAACTTATAACTAAAAATTATTGAGAGTTGATCCAAAATGCTTTAGCCAGAAAAAAATGTGTGTAAGGTGATAGATTACTTACTGAGATTGGCTTAATCATATGAAAATGTGTATGCATATTGAAACATTATGGTATATATTTAAAAATATACATTTTTTTGTACCAGGGATGGTACTCAGGGGTGCTTAACCACTGAGTCACATCCTCAGCCTTTTTTATATTTTATTTTTGAGACAGGGTCTCGCTAAGTTCCTTAGGGCCTTGCTAAATTGCTGAAGTTGGCTTTGAACTCTCCTCCTGCCTCAGCCTCCCTGAGCCACTGGGATTACAGGTGTGTACCACCATGCCTGGCTAAAATCTGCCATCTTAATTTGTCAATTATGTCCTAAGAAAATTGGAGAAAAATGGATTATAAGCCATGTTTTCTTCCCTGTAAGGGGAATCATAGGAAAAAAAAAATCTGTGACCTTGGGAAAAGTAAATGTCTTAGATATGACATGAAAAACAATCAAAGAACAAATAGATAAATTGGAATTTATCAAATTTTAATATGTTTGCTGTTCCTTAGATACTAACAGGAGGATAAAAACAAATACATAGATTCAGAAACTACTTGAAAATTTTATGTCAGATAAAGAATTTTTAACCACAACATGTAATAAAAGTTTCAAGACTCAATTTTAAGCAATCAAGTTAAAAAATGGAGAGAATATTTGAGCATACAGTTCATCAAAAAACATATGCATTTTTCTATGTGCTTGTTTATCATTTGTATATCATTAGAGAAACAAAACAATGAGATACTTTCACAAATTAATTAGGTGGATAGACTTAAACAATTAACAAAAATCTATTTAAATTGTTCCCCAACATGTGAAGAAACTATAACTCATGCTGTATATAGCTAATGAGAATGTGAAATCATTAAACCATTTTAAAACAGGTTTATGAGTTTTTCAGTTTTTAGACATATGCTGCCTATCACATAATCCACCCATTCCAGTCCTAGATATGTATCCAAAAGAAATAAAATCATATGTTCAAACAAACACTTGTAAATGTTTATAGTAGCTTTAATTTCATAGCTGGCAACAGATAAAAATCCAAGTGTCAATCAACAGTTGAATAGACAAACATAATTGTTGTATAAGCACACTGTGGAATATTACCTAGAAATAAAAAGGAACAGATTATTGACACATGTAACAATATAGATGAAGCTCCTGGAAATTCACCAAATGAAAGAAACCCAGAAAAATGTTACATACTACATGATGACATTCTTATAAAACTCTAGAAAGAGCAAAGTGATCTACAGTGACGTAATGCAGTGAAGTTGTCTAGGAAATGATTGTATGCACAATGGTGGGAGGGAAGGAATATGAAGGACTGTGAGAAAATGTTTTGGAGTGATGAATATTATTCACTCTTTATTGTGGTCACTATTTCACAGATGTATTCGTGTATTAACATTAATGAAAGTCTACACTCTAAATATACACTTGACATCACTTATGAATGAATTAAGCTCTTAAGGGCAGGCTAAGACTTAAAATAATTCAAATTGTTTCAATACAAAACCTTTGACATTTGAAGGGATAAACAGGCAGTGTCCCATGGGAAAATTATTAATTTCTGTAACTTCTGGATAAGTGAATGAAATAAGCTGGTACATGTTTATATTGGTAACAATATTACACACCTTTTTTCTGGCTAAAATATAACTCATAAAGCTGTTTTAAAATGATTTCATGATTTCACATTCCCATTAGCTGTATATAGCATGAGTTACAGTTTCATGTTAGGGAACAATTTAAATAGATTTTTGTTAATTGTTTAAGTCTACCCACCTAATTAATCTGTGGAAATATCTCATTGTTTTGTTTTTCTAATGATATACAAATGATAAACAAGTACATAGAAAAATGCCTATCTTTTTTGATGAACTGTCTGCTCAAATCTTTTCTCCATTTTTTAACTTGATTGCTGTTTTCTTGGAGGAAATAGAGAGGTTGTTGGGATGTTACAAATTAGTGTGCTGAGTTGTATTGTGCTTATTATTTTGTCATATAATTTTCCTTATAATGTGTTCATCTTGAATTTCAGCCAATATTCTCCAAATATCAAATTATAGTTTTTCAGATAAAAAGATTAATTTCTGATGCTATGGTAAATATTTATCTGTCATTTTTATACAACTTAATTGATCCAAATAATCTTACAAACCTAAAAAAATAAATGTTTGCCAACATTAAACTTAATAAGTAATTTTTCATTATTTTAGGGCCCTCTGTCCTTAACTTTGGTGACGTTTCTGTGAACTCTACAAATACTCATCTATTACATGTCATTAATATGCTACCTATGTATATTTTGATCAAGTTAGATACTAATTTGGAGGAACTTCAGAAAACCAAACAGTTTTCATATGTGATTCCACCTATATCTAATACTTATATTTCAATGATATTTGAATCTCCTACAACTGGAAAATTTTGGAAGTAAGATTGATTTTTGAATTTGTTTGCTAGAATGATTTGTCAAATATGTATTTGTTTATATAAGTAATTGTAATGTGTATTTGGTTGCATAACATAGAAACTATATGTGCATGAGTTTGTAGACTGGTAGGTTCAAATTGTAGTGGATATTTTAATTCTCTTTCATAATTATTTTGAAATATTAAGTACTACATATTGTGTACATTACACTATGGTTTACCCATTTTTCCACATAACTGGATTCTATGATTACAAATAGCTTCTATTAGTTACATTTAGATGCTTTTTGTTTTACAGATCTTTTACCTTTACAGTGAACAGCATACCTGGAGGGCATATCTTAGTGATGGCAAATATCATGCCAGTAACACTTGAGCTATCGCTTAAGGAATTAGTATTGAGACCACAAAGCTTCTTGATGAAAACATGTTTTCGGGGAACAGTTAGATTGTATAATCGTCAGAATCGTTCTGCCCAATTTGGATGGCAACCAGTAAACACAATAACAGGGATGGCATTTTCCATTCGCCCAGCTACAGGTAATGGTTTATTTTGTTTGATTTAGACATTCATATATTCATTCATTTGTGCATGCAGGCATGAACCACTTATTGTATACTGTGCACTTGTGCTAAGAGCATGAAGTAAATTAGCTACTGTCATAGGAGCATTTATTTTTACAGACATAAATATTATTTTAAAATAATGGATACTATTTTAGTCAGAATTCTCCAGAGAGATAGAACCAATAGGAGATGGACATGAAGAGGGAAAAGCAGAGAGAGAGGAGGATCTTATAGAACTGGCTCTTGCTCACACAGTTGTGTGGATTGGTAAGTCTACAGGGCAGGTTGGAGATCCAGGAAAGAGTTGAATTGTGCTCTCTTCAATCCAAAGTCATTCTGGAGGCAGAATTAATTATTTCTCAAGAGCTTTCAGCCTTTTAAGACTTTTAACTTATTGCCTGAGATCCACAGATATTATGAAAGGTAATGTGCATGTTAATTAATTTGCTTGTGACAATATACTAATGTACCAAATCATCATGATATACACTTGGACTATATAGAATCTTTGTCAATTAAATGTTTTTGAAAGTCTATTGATTTAAGTGTCAATCTAAATAGCAGCTTCACAATAGCATCTAGACTGGTGCTAGACCAAACAATTGTCAGACACCTATAAAATGGTGAGATGATATAGTCCATAAAGATTAAATTATGGAAACCTTCTATGGGGCTGATTGTGGCTCAGGGGTAGAGCACTCGCCTAGCATGTGTGAAGGCCTGGGTTCAATCCTTAGCACCACATAAAAATAAATAAATAGAATAAAGGTATTGTTTCCAGTTACAACTAAAAAATAAATATTAAAAAAATAAAAAAAGAAAACCTTCTATAATATTTGGCAGAGAGGTGCCAAATGCACAGGTAGCTGTGTGATTATGAAAATTTTCTTATTCTGTTTTGGCTTTTATTACCCCTGAAATTGTCCTCCAAGCAACACAACCTATCATGCATCTTGCTTTCTAACTCCTTGCTTCCTCCTTTCTTTCCTTTTCGCTTTTCCCTTTCTTTTTCCCTCCCCCTCCCTCATTTTATTTATTTCTAATTTAGGAATAGATCTAAATATACTATATTCGGATTACAGAGGAGCCTTGGTTTGTAGAAATCTTGCCTCAAATTTCTTTTCTTGTGAATATTAGTCATTTCCAAATCAGAATTTTTATATATTTCTGCAAGAGTTTTCAAAAGGATCATGGTGTTACAAAAACAATCTTATGTATTAAATTAAATTCAATCAATTTTAATGTGCATTGTAGATAGAGGTGTTGACAAATTTAACAGGTGAAAAGAGTAGAGTTGGAGATAATTGATACAGCTGTTTAATCTTTTGATTAACCTGGATTTATTTAACATAATCTTACATTATAATCTATTAAGCATCTGAGTTATACTTTCATCAATATTTCTCATATTCATTTAACTAAGCTCAATATTTCTCATATTCATTTAACCAAGCTCTTTTAAAATTACAATACTGGGGCTAGAGTTTTGGCTCAGTGGTAGAACACTCAATTACCTGGCATGTATGAGGTCCTGGGTTCGATTCACAACACCATGAATAAATAAATGAATAAAATAAAGTATCTTCAACAACTAGAAAATTTTTTAAAAAATTACAATACTGATAAGCTGGGTATGGTGGCACATGCCTATAATTCGAGCTGAGGCAGGAAAATCTCAAATTTAAGCCAGCTTCAGCAATTTAGTGAGGCCCTAAGCAACTTAGTGAGACTCTGTCTCAAAATAAAAGATATTTTATCTCTTATGGCTGGGGGTGTTGTTCAGTGGATAAGTACCCCTGAGATCAATCCCTGGTAACCTGCTCCCCAAACATAATACCAATAATACTGGATTCTGTTGTGATAAAATAATCAGAGAAGAAAGTGATCATTTTTCTGTAAATTCATATTTCTATACATTTCAGAGATTCTAGATAACCCTTCTTCAGTTTGTTTGAACAGATATAAGAACAGTGGTAGTTTGATATCAATATTCCAGCTATAATTTTTGACCAACCACTGATATTGCACCAAGAGTGTCTAAAATACACAGTGCACTAATACTTTTATTTCTTTGTATTTCTCCATCCGAAACAAGGCTGAATGCATTGAAATTGTCCCTGATAGCCATGGAGATATAATGATGATACTTAATTTGTACCAAATACTAGTAGAATTATAATATAAACTGGACCACCGTTATGCTTTATTGGTCTTTAGAAGTCTTATTTTTGTAGGGAGATTTTAGCATTTACTTTTTTCCCCTTTAGGTTGCCAATGACCCCTCTTATATTTTTTTAACTAAAAAAATATCACCAAGGCATAAAAAGCACTAAGACGCTAAATTCCAAAGAAAATGTTTGTATGAAAAAGACCATTAGTATGTAAATTCATTTTCTATTTTAAGAATACAAATGATAACAATGCTCTCAAAACTATTTTATATAGCATTGAAGAAAGTGTTACTTGTGTCATATATATAGATTTGTTTGTTGTTTTCCTCAGAATACTTATATGATAATTACTGAATTTTATGTTGTTTTCCTCTTTGTATGAATAGGAAGTGACTTTTCACTAGATTATTTTTCTTATGCTCTATTGATTTTGCATCCTGGATAATACATTTAATTATATGCTTTTTTGCCTTTTGGGGTAAACTAACATGAACAATTCTAAATCGATATTTATATTTTGTTTGTCCTTTCTTCCTGAGACATGATATATTTTGGATTTGTATTTGGGTAGCATATGTTGTAAGAGAAGAAAATAAGAGTGAATTGATATTTTCTGAGGTAGAACTCAGTTCTAATTTGATTTTTAAAATATGTATTGTTTATGCTTCTGCTTATTTTGTTTTCTTCTTTGTTTCTTTACCATTACTAAAATACCAAGTGAATCCTTGAGCTTGCTTCAGTCATTTTACTCTCATTGTCTTTCTCAATTTTGACAATCCTTGGCCATATAAAGTACCTGTCTTACCAGTCCCACACTTGCTCAGTCTAGCCATTCAATTTATTTCCCCTGTTTCCTGATACATGTAATGTTCCTAGAGAAAAATATATAAGCACACTGATTGGAAGAAAAACAAAATCTCTTCAAATGGACCCTTCAACAGGATTATATAATGCTTTTACTGTCTCTGCTTTTCTTGGGGCACTCAGATGGCTTTATTTGTAGCATTGAATCTTCTTTTTTAAAAGTACTTTCCATCATAGTTTTCTCCACACCCACTGTCTTCTTGTACTTTAATGTAATGACACTTAGGCTTCCCTCAAGTTTTGTCCTGCAAAGATCTAACTCACTCTTCATGTCCCAACTCAAATGCCATCTCCATATAGTGATGTTTCTTCTATTTCATTGAACTATACAAGGTTTCCTCCATCTTTTTTTTGCTATTATTATGCATTTGTTTTTAAATATTTATTTTTTAGTTGAATGTCTTCATTTTATATTTATTTTTATGTGGTGCTGAGGATATGTACTTGTTTTTGCCAGCTCCAAATATTTGTTTTTATCTGCCTCCTTTTGTTGTAGACATTGCTAAACTCATATCTGATATCCATTTCCCTTCATAACAAGACTCTAATTTGGGGGATGAGGTAGCAGTGATCTTATCTAGAAAGCTCTTTGCTCCAGCTTCCCTTGTCAAAACAATATGAACAGAGATTTCCTTTGGCTTTATCCTCTTTATATGTAGGGGCACTATATTGTCTGTATGTATCTATATGTAAAGCCATCACTAATCCTAGGGTGATTGTTTCATTTTAAATTTTGTGTTGTTTTTTAAACATTGTTATATTTTTGTTGTACATTTTTATTGACCTGTTAAAATTGGGAAATATGCCAGGTGTGGTGGTGCATGCCCGTAATCCCAGCAGGCTTGGGAGGCTGAGGCAAGAGGATTACCTGTTCATAGCAAGACTCAGCAACTTTGTGAGGCCCGAAGCAACTTACTTAGCAAGACCTTGTCTCAAAAAATAAAAAGAGCTGGGGATGTGGCTCAGTGGTTAAGCACCCCTGGGTTTAATCCCAGATACAAAAAAAAAAAAAAAAAAAAAAAGGAAATAAGGTTTGCATTTTAGATTTCAATCAAATCCTATATGATTATGCCCATTTCATAATATCCCATTTAGCATTTCCCTATTATTAGAGTTTAATTTTAAGAATTTGTTGTATAATGCAATTAAATTTTAGGCCAGTTCATCTTTTGAATATTAACAAAAAAACTTCAATGTAATAAAAATGTGGTAAATGTTTTCTTTTCTCTCTGTATTCTCTGTAGGCACTGTTGAAGCATATTCATCACTGGAATGTGAAGTAATGTGGCAGCCAAGTTTCAATTCTCCAGAAAAGGGAGATTTTATTCTTAATGTCTCTGAAGGAAACACATTGACACTAAAATGTGTTGCACATGTAATTATTTCCTTTGAACTAATTTTTATTTTGAGGGCTATAAATTGATTGGGTATGCATATGTGTGCTGTATATATGCATATATATATATATATATATATATATATATATATATATATATAATATTATGTATGTAAACATACACTACATATAAATTGTCTTAGCTCCTTCATGGAGCCTCTTGTCTATCATAAATGAAGAATTTGTTAAAAAATGTGTTAGGTATCTAGAATTAGCTAAAAAATATAAGAGTTTTATGAAAACAATACTAGACTGTCAGAATCTCTATAAATCTATGATACCATCATGGAAGCAACTGAAAATTAAATTGTTTCACTAATAGACACCAAAGAAGAAGTGAGAAAATTATATTTTGCTCTACTGTATTGCATTTAATATTCTAGTAGTAGCAGTTAATAATTCAGTATGAAATAGATCATGTAATTTACATAGTAGGAAAATATATATTTTTACATTTTTATGGAATATACATCTTGTAATGAAAATGTGAACAAAGCAAAAGCTGCAATACATAATTTTTAAGCTTCTTTCTGTGGTAGAGCCTAGAAGGCCTTAACTTTATGGCTTCCTATCACCAAGAATGCACTTTACTAATATGCCAAATTTTCCATCCAGTGTTCTTTTTTTTTTTTTTTTTTTTTGGTATTGGAATTTAACCCAGAGGGGCTTAACCACTGAGCTAAAATCCCCAGCTCCTTTTTTTAATATTTATTTTTTAGTTATAGTTGGACACAATACCTTTATTTTATTTATTTATCTTTATGTGGTGCTGGGGATTGAACCCAGGGCCTCGCATGTGCTAGGCTGCTAGGCAAGCACTCTACTTGCTGAGCTCTTTTTTTTTTTTTTTTTTTTTGAGAGAGAGAGAGAGAGAAATTTTTTTAATATTTATTTTTTAGTTTTCGGCGGACACAACATCTTTGTTTGTATGTGGTGCTGAGAATCGAACCCGGGCCACACACATGCCAGGCGAGCGCGCTACCACTTGAGCCACATCCCCAGCCCAATTGCTGAGCTATTTTTAAATTTTGTTTTTACTTTTTGGTATTGGGGATTGAATCCAGGGATGATTAACCATTCAGTCACATCACCAGCCCTTTTTATTTTTTATGTTGAGACAGGGTTTCATTAAATTGCTGAGGGCCTTGCTAAATTGATGAGGCTGGCCTAGAACTGGAGATCCTCCTGCCTCAGCCTCCCAAATCTCTGGGACTATAGGCATGTACCACTGTGCCTGGCTCCACCCAATGTTCTTAGAAATTTAAAACAAGCCAAAGGCTATTTTACTAAACTTCATCTCAATCTATGGGGCATGATGATAGTTTTACATATTTTAGCTGTGACAAAACTTGCAGTCTAAAAAGAAGAGAGATTCAGAAACTTGAGTGGCATAAAGTGGCAGTCAGAACACAGTATGTTTTTTTTCCTCTGGTCCAAGCTTGAAATAAGCTGAATCCTACTGGTTTTCAATATGTATAAATTACTTAGTATTCTTTCTTAAACTTTATGTTGAAATATAATATGCATAAAAAGGTACACAGACTGAAAATCATGTATCCCTTAATCTTCACAAACTGGTAACACTTTTGTAACCCATTCCTAGATGAGCTAGATCTAGAAACATAATGTGATTAATACAACAAAAGAGCCACCCCAGTTCACATTTTCATTCACTGTATCCATCTCAAGATCATCACTCTCCTTACTTCTAAGAGCACAGATTAATTTTGATTTTGAACTTCATATACATGGAATTAAACCATTTATTCTCTCATATGTACACCTTGTTTTATCATCATTAGGTTTGTGGGATTTGTCTATGCCGATTCATACGGTCATAGATTGTTCATTCTCATTCCTGAATAGTATCCCACTGTGTGACCATACTATCATTTATCCTCTATACAACTGATAGGGATTTAGCTTATTTCAAATGTTTAGCTAATATAATAATGTCTCTATCATCATTCTTATAATTGCCTTGTGGTGAATATATGCACACAGATTTTTAACTGTTCTTTATGTAATTGTGCTTAACGACTTTACTATTATAAATTTGCTAACATACCTCATATGTATTTTTTTCTAACAGATAAAAGATGACAATTTACTAATTTAGAATTAGCATTGAGGATACCATTTATTGAATAATTACTGTGTGCCAGGTGCTGTGCTAAATGTGCTCATTTGTTAGCTAATTTAATTCTTATAACAACCCTGTGAGACACTATTAACTCAGTTGATGAGTGAAAAAAATAGAGTATTAGAATGCTTAAATAACTAATACAATTTCACATGTATAGTAAACACCTTAGTTGGAATTTATAGCCAACTGCTTCCACATCCTTTATTATTACCCTATGATAAAATTTGCTTTTTGTATTTCCTAGACCAGCATTGGATAACAATTAAACTCTGAGATATCATGATAATTAATTATTTTAGGAACCTTTTTGAAGCTTTGAAAAGTAACTCTTACAAAAGCAAATAGAAAGGAACATTAAATGAATAAATAAGATGTTCATTTTAGGTTTGTCATTTCTTTTGTAAGGACTGACTGACTTGACTATTTCCTCTTCTCTTAGTTTAACAATTTATCATTCCAATTATCCAAATTATGAGTTTTCTAATAAATAATTATAAGGATGCATTAAACTTAAGAAATAATATTTCATAGATTAAAGACCATATAGTACCTGGTATAAAGGACACTGAATAAGGCACTGGAAAATTTGTGTTCTATTTCTTCTTGGATATATCTTGCTTTCCTATATGATTGGACAGGTACATAATACCAACATTTCCACAAAGTATTCTTTTCAATTTTTAAAAATGTTTATTAGTGCTTTGTAATTATAAGAAAAGTGTTTTATGAAGTGCTTTGTGCAGAAAGGGGAGCAGAGAGACCTGTGAATCACAATAAACTATGTCCCCATTCTCAGATAAGCAAAGTGTATATTATCATTATATTATGCTCTATGAGAAAGCTTGTAGTAAACATGGCTAGATAATTTCATTTGGCAGCTTTCTTTCCATACTTTTGGCCCTTCAAATCTTTCCATTTGCAAATCACACAGTAACACCCTGTACGTGATTGGGTGGATAATATCTCTAAGTTCCTTCCAATGATGAATCAATAGGTTTCTTAGTTCTGAATTCCCTTCCTCCATAGAGTTATCTTACTCACTCTGCCTTCTGTAGTTTGGGAATACATTTTAAATATACCATTCTATTTTTTTCTTTAACATAACATACAATCTAATTACACTTTATAATTTAAATTTAAAATCTCCATGAAGCTTAAAAATGGAGGTATATTGTAGGGATGAAAGTGTATTTTTATTACTGCTCTTATTTCTCTTCTTTGCTGTTGAGTAGTGTTAACTTTGCTTCTTTGTTCATAGAGTGGGTTTTTCTTACCTGTAAAGGTTGCAAGAGATTAATATATAGAACAATTGTGTATATTTGTTGAAATATATTTATTCATATTTTGTGAAGTTGATTAATGTTACTTACCCATTGTATGACTTAGACAAAATTCTTAATCACCCTACTTTTGGTGAAAGTTGTGAGTTTCATTCATCCATTCATTTCACTATTATTTACTAAGTCCATACTTTGTATCAGGCCCTATGCAGACTGTGTATTTAAAGATGAGCAATATAGACATGGTCTAGCTTTTCCCTAGGTACTTTCTGGACTGGTAGACCATAGTAAAAATATAAGTAAAGAACTAATATATTTGTCTCACACTGGGAACATAGTAATTTGATTACTATTATTGTCATCATATTACCACTGAAATACTTAGGTATTTTTGTCTAAAAATATTTAAATACCTAAATTATAAATACCTAATTGCTAATAAAATACAACCCAAATACCTAAGTAAAATCTCTCCTATGATTTTTATATATTTTTAATTTTTATTTTGTTTATTTTTATGTGGTCCTGAGGATTGAACCCAGTGCCTCACATGTGTGAGGCAAGTGCTCTGCCACTGAACCACAACCCCAGCCCTCTCCAATGATATTATTACTCTATCTTGACTGAATTGTCACAGATGTTGTTTAAATTTAAGAAAACAATATAATACCTTGAGTACTTTTTAATCAAAATAACAATGAAATAACTTGATATGTGATTTGTTTTTATGTTAGAATATACTGAATAAATAATATAAGGAAGATTGTCATGTTTCATTCAATAATCATATCTTTGGTTAATAAAACCCTTTTTTGTGATCAATTATTTTATTTGCTATTATGTCATTTACATTTTTCTCCTTTCCTCCTCTCATTACTAGATTGGTCACACCAAGGTTGCATTTTTGGAGCCAAGAATACTGTTCGGTAATAGTCCTCAAGGCTTAACAACTTGGAGGAAAGCCATATTACACAATGTAGGAAAAAACCATGCTTACTTCAAGGTACTATAGAATTTTGGTCATTTCTTATTTGAATCAGATCATATTATGATTAGATTTAATTTGTTGGTGCCATGAATTATATCAGAGTAATGCTTTATTCCATATAAATAGATTTATGCTAATTTTAGATATTATATTTATGTAAGAATTTTCTGAGTACCTTTTAAATTCTCAGAAAAATGGTTTACTCACTTCCTTACTTAGTTACTCCCTTTCTTCTGGTCTACTCCAGTTTTTACTTTCAGTTATTTGATTTCACTGAGAAATATTTTTAAATGTTTAAATATAAATTATAATTAATTTACACTTTATATTTAGTTATGTGATTTTACTTTTCTCCTCATTTGCAGGACTTATAATAGCTACTGAGACATAAATGGAGGCAAGTCTGCAGATAGTCTGTATATAATTGTTGCTCCTTATTTAAATGGAGGGAGGGGATAAGTGGTGATAGAGTTGTTTTATTTTTGCTAAAACAAATACATTAAACACCACCCCAAATAGTGGTATTAGAGATTAGCATTTAAGATTTTTTCATTCAAGCTTTATATTAGCATGTCTTTCTGCCCAAATCAATTCTTGCCAAAATAAACAAATGAATAGATCCTTTTTCTACCATGCTTATTTCAGAATTTGTTCTTACCTGGATAGTCTATTTGTCCTCTTCTCCAAAATATTTTGGCCAATTTCCCTTTAAATTATTCTGACTTTAAGAATGGTAAATAGATTTAAACTGATCTCTAACAAAGCACAACCAAAAGCCTTATGACTTTTTGAAGATGAAAATGATATCTTAGATATTATGCATTCTATCAAGGAGATATAAATAAGAGATTACTTCAGCATCCTGCCTCTCTGCTAACTTTGCTTAAACTTTTCAGTATCAGGGAAAAGAAAGCTATCAATGTTGTATGTACATACAATGTTGTCATGGTCTCTAACAAATATATCTCAATCTTCTAAATTTTGCAGCTTTAATTACTACAACCACTATAGAAACTAGTACAGAGATTCCTCAAAAGACTAGGAATGGACCCACCATATGACCTAGCTCTCGCACTCCTTGGTATTTATCCCAAAGAACCAAAATCAGCATAATATATAATACATGCATATTAATGCTTATAACAGCTCAATTTACAGCAGCCAAGTTATAGAACCAGCCTAGGAGTCCTTCAATAGAAGATTGGATAGAGAAAATGTGGTTTATATACATAATGGCATTTTACTTAGCCATAAAGAAGAATGAAATTATACCATTTGCTGGTAAATGGATGGAACTGGAGAACAATATGCTAAGTGAAATAAGCCTGATATAAAAAGTCAAGGGTCAAATGTTTTGTCTTGTATGTGGAAGCTGGAGAAATAAGGAATTTAAAAAGGGGGAATCTCATGAAAATAGAAAGAAGAGTTGGTTAGAGAAAGGGGTACCGGGAAGAGAGTGAAGAATGAAATTAACCAAATTATGCAATGTGTATGTATGAAAATATTACAATTAATTTCACTTTTATGTATAACCACAATTCATCAATTAAAAACGAATTTTAAGAAAGAAAAATAGTTGCAGTTTTGAATGCACTTGAGGTAATAAACTTCATCATCCTATTTGAATTGGAAGGTGCCACTATTGAAGTTTCTTTTTAATGAATGAGGGCTGCAATTCCTTCTTGTAGTCCAAGCTATTTGTGTTTGATGTTTCCAAACAACATTATAATACCTTATTTCCTATGTCCAGTGGTGTGGATGCTTTCCTGTGAAAGCTTTGAAGCAATAATTTTAGGGATAATGTAGCATTTCTGTACGTTTTTAATTACAGGTTTATGATCAGAGTCTTTTGCCTACCATTAAGATTATTCCATCAAAAGGAATAATTCCATTTGGGGGAATAACTATTCTTAATATCTCCTATACACCCACTGTGGCAGAAAAATTTGCTACAAGAGCAAAGGTATGTTTGTTTATATATGTGCCTCTCTATATATGTATCTTGTACTTTTTATATATCTATATGGGTTTGTTTGGTTCTTTAAAATATGCACAATACTAGTTATAGTACTATAAAATATGCACACATTTGTTTTTATAAAATGTATTTTAAATTTCTTATTGGAAATGGAGTTTAAATTTAATGACACTAAAGGTCAAATTTTTAGATTTCTATTATTTTAGAAATTGAATTAGCTCTAAAATATGTCATTGTTAGAAATATAAAAAGGCAAACTTACATAAATCATCTAATATAAAGTTGTATAGCAGAACTTGGAGACAATTTGCAGAAAATATTTCTGGTGAAAGTTGATGATGGAAATTTCTACATGAAATGAATACCTTCCATTAATATGGGACACTTTCACTTGAAATTGTAATATTTGGCATCTCTCGAGTTTTGACAAATCCTCACTAGTCATAGAGAAAAGAATGGCCTTTTTCATGGCATTACTTAGGTTGCTCAAGGGAAAAATAGTCAATGATAGGATGCTAATTGATAACTATATGAATTGTATGCAAATTCAATACAATATAACATCTATATTTTATTACATAAATTGTTTTACTACTTTATTTCTAGGAATTATGTAAATGAAGTTACTAATTTTAGGTACTTCTGTAAGTGCTCCTTAAACAAAATAAAACATACAGGACCAGTTTGTGTAAAATTTCTTTCAATTGTAAAACACAAGGAATGGAATGCTTTTTATCTTCAATTCAGTGATCAGATGTGTGCATTTAGCTTAAAAACATAGTATGTATGTATACTGTCATGAGATGGAAGGGAGTAGTTTCATACATATCTTCCACTTTATCTCTCAATGTACCATAGCAATTAATGACTAAGAAATATGTAGCTTAAAGTAATGAACACTGATTTGCCTGGCCTGAAAATAAATAAATAAACTAAGAATGTTATCTTAATTTTATAAATAAGTATGTGTTGAAAGACATTTATAAATTAGATATTGTGATATGTGATATGAATCTTGGGCAGAATATTTTTAAACATAATATTCTGGTAAAAATAAAAAGTAAGAATTTTATTAAAATTCCACTGCATTTTAGAGGATTATGCTTTCTTTTTAACAAATCTTACTTTTTTAACATTATAAGTTTTATTTATTCTTCCATTTAACAGTCACATTATACATCAATCTCTTTTGTATATGCTAAAGACACAATGTTGAACAAGATAATCAGGGTTCTTGATTTTGAAGAGTTTACAGTCTGGTGGAGATACATGAAAGTCAATAATTAAATTATGAATTATAAAAATATATTTTAGAAAATAATGAAATGGAAAAATGCCCCAGGCTAAGAGACAGGAGAGATATATACCCCAGGCTTAACATATTTGACAGGGTTTCTAGAGGAAGATACATCTAAAAGACACCTAAGTTTGAGAATCAGCCAGATTAAAAGGATGATAATGGTGTAGAGAAGGAGAAAAGGAAAGAATATTTAAGGAAGTACAAACAGCACATGTTCAGACTTGGGGAAGAGACAGAGCTTTAAGACATATATGAGAAACTTAAAGTTGAGCATGACTGGATTTATAGACTACATGGATGATAGTAGATGAAAGACGGAGATCTGTGTGAGTTTCAGGTCATACAAGGCCTTTATCAGCATTAAGAAATACAAACTTCATTTTAAGAGATAGGAGTTTTAACCATGAAGATTTCACAATGATATTTACATTTATTAGAGATTGCTTGGGTTTTAGAGCAATAAGCTAGAACTGACAAGATTGACTGCAGAGTTATTAGTCTGATGAAAATGTCCAGATAAGAAAAAACCTGGTGTTTTCAGCTTTTAAGAAACTGAGAACAGTTTCCTCCGTCAGAAAATCAGATTCTAGGAAAATTCTAGTCAAATTTAGGAGATTAATGCTTAGGGCTTGGTGATTGAAAAGGGATCATATATAAGTGAGGGGGTGAGTCAAGGTTGAGGCAGATGGTGGCAACATTCAGTATAAGACAGAATGACAGAATAATAGCATTGTTTATATGTTTGTTTGAGTTTGAGGCAGCTTTCAGATCACATAGAGATGCCTAAGTCAGTTACACACACTGTGCATATTAGTCTGAATGCTAAACATAAATCTTAGAGATGGCAGAGAATTTTTCTAATGTTGTTGTGAGCATATAGATGAGTGTAAGTGGATCAAATATAAATCATTATGTGAGAAGTTAGACAAATTTTGGAGGAAGTTGAATGAAGGGAATATGGAGACGGGTGAATTGGGGCTGCTCAAGGGATCATAATCCATCACAGGCTTGAAATTATCTGCTATTGTGATATTCAGAAAATATTGGCTTTGTAAATGAGTGAGAAAGGGATGGGGGGATTATGGGAAAAAGAAAGATGAATGAATGTATGGTTTCAGAAGCTGTGTATTTATGAGGGGTGGTATTGTCCAGAGGGAATTTTAAGTCTCTGGAGATGAGAAGGTCAAGAGGCCAATGGGCTAAGGGTGGTAAATGAGGAATAATGTACATTTGTACATTCATTGTAAATAATGATGGGGGAAGTGAGTAAAAGGAAGCCATGAATGTTAAGACTTATATATGGGTTAATCAATGAAAAGCATGTCAATTTGTAATATCCTCTGAATCATTAAGTTATGCTGCTTAAGATTTTAGTGAAATATTATATGTATTATATACTCTTTCTGTGGGAAGAACTATTTTTACTTGGTCTCCTGTTTTTCTTTAATTTTGAATAATCCATTGAGATTAAATTAAAAAAAAATATTACAGAGTTGCAATAAGGTCTAGTCAAATGGGTAAAACTCTAAAGTCAAATTTACAAACCACCAACTGATCCCATTTGAGAGTTTTAATTGTTGAACACTGTTAGGTGTATCAGTTCTGCAAAACAAATACGATGATAATTGCCAAAATAAGTTTGTACGTTTATATTATGTCACTATTATTTAAATTATAAAGTTTTTTGTAAATGCCAAGAAATTCTTCAGCAATATATAATTATATTTTAATGTGGTTTCTACAATATGTTATATTTCTCTTAAATAAGGTTGCTATTCGCCATGCAAATGTCATAGACCTTAGGATTGGTGGATCTGTTGAGATTGCTAATATTGAAATAAATCCGGTGAGTATGTTGCCCATTTGTGTGGTCAGTTTTTAAGTATGGTGACTTTTATTTGTTATATATACCCTGAATTAGCTCATTTATGTTTTAAAATATTTTACTATGAAGTAATTTGACATAAAAATTAACATAGATAATATATAATATATAAATGATGTAATAAAATATTAAAAGAATTTTTTAAAATTCCCCACTGAACTAGGTATTAGAACACTGCCAGTATGATTAAAATCATCTGTAGGCTTCATAATGATCCTATACATCATAACAGATAATCACTTTCCTATAATGACCACATATGTATAAATCACCTCAATCATTCATTTGTTTGTTCGTTTTTGAGCTTTACAAATAAGACAGACTGTTTGTAGCCGATAGTAATTGAACATTGTGTTTCCAACATTATTTAATTTGTAACTGTATGTTATTCATTGTCATTGCTATACAATTGTTCCTTGTGTTGATATACTATAGTTTATATACTTATTCTGTTGGCCATCCAATTAGGTGTTTCTTCTTGTTGTTAATAAAATTACTTTACCTGTGCCCATTTATATGCATATATTAAGAAGTACATATACAAGGGCTTCTAGGAATAGAGTTCCTAAGACATACAATTTGTACATGTCTGGATTATCAAGATAATTTCTGAAATTTCTTCTTGAATTGCCATTGCTTCAAATTCCATTGCTCTACAAATTGGAATGTCAGATTTGAATTTTTGACAATCAATTGTGTATGAAATGGTATCACATGATGTTCTCAATTTATATTTTCTGAACTGTAGTCACATTTATTTTGAAATTATTGTCTGTACACCAGTACAATTTTGTGCTACAGTTGATAAAGTACATAAACACACACACACACACACACACACACACACACACACACACATCCCTTTTTCTCTTGGCCCGTCCTTTAAGAATAAGATCTGGTGTTATCCACCCAAAGAAGCTTTCTTTGATTCTTAAAAGCAGGCCTGTATGCTTCTCCTTCATTGTGACATTTACTAGATGTTATGAATATGAACATACATATTTATTACATTTTATGAATAGAACTCTGGGAACATCTCTGTCATAACAGTTGTCATATTATTCTTGGGTTACCTGTACTTTTGATTTTGTTTTCTCATGCCACAGCACCTTGCACTAAATTAAAGTGAGCAGCAGTTGCTGTTTAAAGAGGTAATGTGGCTGCCTCAGGTAGGGACTTACTTCTAGTCTGTCCTTTAATGGCATCACCAAAATTCTAAGGTCTGGTTTTAATTTATAATTTTTTTGCCCTCTGTTATTAAGTGATGAAGGCATGATAAGTCCAGACAAATTGACAGATACTAAGTTAGCTTGTCCAAGGCTATGGTGATTGCTGAAGATTAGATCCAGTAGTTTCCAGAGTGTTTTATTCCATTGCTATTGTATTACTCCTTAAAAAAATTAGATAATATTGAGACTTCTATTACTTTATTTCTTCATTCTAAAGTCATTTGGTGCATGCTTTGCATGTTATAGTACAGTTTAATGGTTTATGGGACTTCGGATTACTATGTTTATCAAAATGCCCTTAATATTTTGAGTTTTAGATGTAGTTGCCTCTTAAAAATAGTATTTTAGCATCACCAGATATTTTTTAAAATGCATTTAATAACTACTAGCTAATGGCTATTTAATTGACTATGTATCTTGATAACAATTAGGAAATTTTATCCAAATTAACGTATTAGCAAGATAAGAATGGGATAAGAGGAGTGATTTAAAAAAAATTATATATATATAGATCAAATTTTCATTATCCATTTTGGACTTTATAAATTTTATATGTAGAATTTTACATGGGCTAACACTTTAATTTAAGTGACTAGTAGTCAGTTGAGCTTAATTTAGTATTCTCCACAATATTGCAATACTCCTGCCTTAATTTCCTTTTAATGTTCTATGTAATTCTTTTGCTAAAGAACTGTAGGGAGAATTTTGCCATAGGGATAATTTTGTGATGTGGGTTCATGCTTGGTATATGAGCTGAAGTTCAGATATATTGGATAAACATTCTTTATATATTTAAGGTAGGTATTAGGTGCTAAAGATACAAAAATGAATCAGGCTCTTCAGCAGGAGATTCAGGTAATGTAAACAGACTATGTGATCTCACAATGTAAGTCAATATAAGGAACAGAAGTGATCATGTGCACAATGTGCTTAATTGTGGTTTATCTAACTGGGGTTTGATCACTATATAACATTTTATTAGGCAATTAATAGTTAGGGAAGGACCTTTTTAGCAGAAGAGGTACCACAAGACACAGAAAGGTGAAGCATCAGGTGCTGGTTAGAAATGACAAGTCATGTAGCTTGCTGAAATATTAAGTGCTAAGGTGAGAGTGGAGCTAGTTGAGGCTGTGACATGAGGCAGGAAAGGTCAGGAGGAGTTTTATGACCTTGCTAATGAGCTCGTATGTTGTCCTGTAGTTGGTGGGGGACCATAAGATTTTAAGACAGGCAGTGAAATGATCAGTCTCTCAATTAGTTTAATAGTGGCTTAGTTATAGAGAGAAGAATTTGAGAAAGTTAAAATCTGGAAACTAAATGAAAAGTGACAAGTTACTCATTTCATCCAGTTAAAATGAGGGTAAGAGGTGAGGAAGGATACAGAATTAATGAAACGTGGTAATTGATTATATATAGGAGATGGGAAGAGGAAATGACTAATTTTTGTAGAGTTCTCCTTTGATGTTATTTTCTTTGATAAACATAAAAACATAATTTTGAGTAAACATAATTTGAGTATATATTTTTCATAAGCCATTGCTATGTTTTCTAATGATTGTTTCTTTTTAAATTTTAGAATGTATTTAATTTCAGTGGCACTTATGTTGGTGCTACCCAAATTATTCCCTTTGTAATAAAAAACAAAGGTATAACACGTGCCATAGTGGACTTTGATTTTAAAAACTTTCCAGATTTTTCAATGGATTTTAAGGACAAATCAGGTATGCATTTTGTGCCATAATTGTATTATTGTAAAGCAAAATTATTCTAAATAGCCCTGAAGTGAAATTGTTAAAATTTTAAATCGGGGGCAGTTATTTCACATATATTTTTAATGACTCAATGCGTGCTTTTCTTATACTCTGACTCATTATTTTTGTATTTCTAGAAATGTATCAATTTGAATTGTAGAACCTTTGGTGACACATGATATAACCTTACTTATTAGTTGTCATAATACAGTAATTTAAGTATTACATGTAAGTATATACTATAAATGAAAATAAAATTATCAGTTTTTATTTTTGGTAGTTCTGGGGATTGAACCTAGGTCCTTGAGCATGCTAGGCAAATACTCTACCACTAAGCTATATCCCCAGCCTTTAATTGTTAGTGTTAAATGCTCAAGAATTTTAAGTAAATGTCTCTGGAGAGTTCTCTCTGTAGGTTTATTCATGTAATAGGTCTCTTTATATTAAATTTGATTTAAACAAAATATGCATTTTTATAAGTGCAGTTCATCTGTTTACTCCAGGAGTTGACAAACTAAGGCCTATGGGCCATGTCTGGTCTAACACCTGTTTTTGTAAAGTTTTATTAGAACACAGACACACTCATTTGTATATTTTTAATGGCTGCCTTTATGTTGTAATGGCAGTTGAATAGTTGTGATAGAAAACATATGTCTTATAAAATCTAAAATATTTACCATCTGGGCTCCTACAGAAAGTTTCCTCACCATTGGTTGAGTCATTTCTTCTTCAATGAATATTGATTGAATCCCAATTACAGGCTACATACTAGACTTTGAGTCTGCGAAGATAAGTGAGACATCTTAAATGTCCTTAAGAAGTAAACAATAAGTTTGTGCCAGAATCTCAGAAGTAAACAGATGACTCACTCAGAGGATTTAACTGAAAAGAATTTAATAAAGGAATTATCTATTGAGGTTTGGGCAGGATTAAAAGAAACCAACAAGGGAAGGTAGCTGCTGCCACCTCTAGGCTTGAAGGAGCAAGAATAAAGCAGATATTATTACAGTCTAGTGGAAGGTCAAACTGTAAGAGGAGCCAGTCCCAAAGTGGTATAGTTATAAAGAAATGAAGTCATTGCCAGACCTCCAACTAAGGCAGTGTTGATGTGGGAGCATAGATATTTGATCTTTCTTTCACCCTCCTACCCTGTGATATTTTGCTGGTCCATGATGAAACCCAACCAGGGGCCAAAGACAAGGTAGTACATAAGTAACAATTAACTATTTACAATAAAATTTATTCTTAAAATGTCCTAAAATTTTAATCATTATAAATATTTTAATAGGTCAATTCTCTTCTTTTACCACTTATTGATTTTCAAAATGATCACTTTAGGATTGATTATTCGATAGAGTGATTTATGGGAAAGGAAATGTTGTGATATATTTGGGTATGACCTCACCTTGTCTTTCCAGTCATCTCTCCCATTACAGTAAGCATAGGCTGTCTCTGCTGGAGCCATGTTGTATTATTACATATTTTCTTTCACTGAGCTTCCCTTCTAGGATGATTTCATTCTCTTTCTGCTCCTCAAAATGCCACCTTCTGTTATAAACTAGTTTCAACCTCTTAAGTCCTGTGAATTATTAGTCCCCTCTGCACCGTAACCCAGTTGGTAAAAATCAATTTTTTTAAGCATTGATCCATAGGACATTGTGTAAGTTTTGTTATAGCAATAACTGAATTCTGTCTGGTATCAAAGGGAGCTGTGTACATGTTAATACATGTATCTACTAGATGGTAAGCTCTATGAAGTTAAAGAGCACACTTAAATTTTTGTTTTATTCTGGAGTTGTCCGATATGATGCTATGGGTTTAATACTCAATCAGGAAGTATTTATTGAAGCAAGCTTGAATTATTATATTTTATAAGCTGTATGTTTATGTATACTCCAAATTGACTTGTGAATATTGATTTAAATCATCTATTTAATAGTTTCTATGTTCTAGATACACATCCATTCTAGATGGTTATTCTTTGCTATATAATATTTGTATTTTTACTACACTACAAATAATATAGTGATTTTATTCATTTGTTTGTTAAATGGTTTTCCCATCATGCCAAGGGTGTATGAAATTGAATGGGAACAATAGAATGAAATAAGTTATTAAATTTTATTTCCAGATAGGAACAATCGAAATTTGTAGGATTTTTAAAGTTAATCGGAAAACTTTAGGAAGAAAATAGGATTTTTATAATTGTTTAGATGAGAAGTTCCACTGCAACTTTCATTTAATCATTCAGGAATTTATTTAAGTGTTTATCATTTTTTTATCTTGAAGTTTTCATTAGTGTGGTACAATTGTTTCTGTATCATTACCTAATGATTTTGTTCCTAGAATCATTCCATTTTTTAAAGAATTTTTCTTGTTATTTATATTATTTTAATTGACCTTTCTGAGATCTATTTCATAGCAGAATGATCATAGTTAACAATAATTTCGGGCTGGGGTTGTGGCTTAGCAGCAGAGCACTCGCCTAGCACGTGTGAGGTTTGATCCTCAGCATCACATAAAAATAAATACATAAAGGTATAAAAAAACAATAATGTATATTTCAAAGTAGCTGAGAATAAATTTCAAATGTCTCATCACAAAGAAGAATGAGTAAATGAGGTGATGGATATATGGATCTTGCCCTTTATTCCTTTCCGTATTTATTTTTGAATATGACTGTATTTCGTGAATTTTGGAGAGCTTTTAAATGGATTTATTGTCTCTGATTTTCTGACTGAATGAATGTTGCAAGTTTGGATATCAGTTTTGCTGATTAGAATCTTAGTATTAAGAACCATCTTTACCTAGCAACTTCATGTAGCCCTTCCCAGTTATGTCAATACTTGCTTTGCTTTTTTGATTGTTATGAATATATTCATAAGATTTTTCTAATTTCACAGTTTTCTATTAAATAATGCTCTTTAGATATGTATCTGGCTGTATTGGGGATGTGGCTCAGTGGTAGAGTGCTTGCTTAGCATGTATGAGGCCCTAGGATGGATCCCTAGCATGAGTTAAAAAAAAAAAAAAAACAACAACTAATATATATCTGGGTGCTATATTGTATATGTACTTTTTCCTGTCTTATAGGAGAAGTCCCAAGCCCTGCAGTTCCTGGTATATATTCCTTGGAGATAGAGGAAAACACATCTTTGGAATGTGGCATAGCATTTTCTCCCAAAGAAGTAAGTTCAGCTTTCCACTACTCAAGAGTAGTAGAATTACAGATAATTCTAGCCAAAAACCTATCAAAGATCATCCAAGTTCTGTGTATAGTGGGTCTTTTTCTGGCTAGTCAGCATGCCTAGGTGTACTCTTGAATTCAGTAAAATTATTACTAGCAGTATCTAGTATGCTTACAGTCTCTCTCAAAAGGAATAGAGGACACATGCAGGGACTCTATGATTGTATGATCTTTTGCTATGCTCTCTGGAAAATTCAAGATATGACGTGTTGTGCAGGAGAGGAAAAGTTTAAGCTTATCAAAGAAATCACTTATACTCAAGCCAACTTGTGCTTTACACTTATGGTTGAATGGTGTATGCTTAGTGCTTTACAATCATTACCTGAAATTAATAAAGACATGTTGTAAACACTTAAGAGAGGTTGCTATAATATTTGTTTTATATTGTCCCCTTGGTGTTTAGTGATTTTCAAAAAATAAACTAAATTAAAGAAAAACCTGAAAGGAAGTGATACCACTGGTTAAGTTTCAGGAGTGAGCTCTGGTATGCTTTTGCTTCAGAGGTTCTAAAATAAAAATGCCAAGGAGACAGTTTCTCTCTATACATTCTGTGAAAGGGTATGCTGCTGCATCATTCCAAATAAGAATCAAACTTCTGTATGACACAATCAGAGTGTAAGATGTATACGTACAACTATTAAACAAATATTCCACAAATTGATGCTTTATGACCTGAAAGTGAAAATAGCATTGAGTAAGTCAAAGTAATAAAAATCACTATCTTTAATGTTGCATTTTTTTACTAATGTAATTTTTTACTCAGATTGAAATGTTATTTTAGGAACAATGATAGCTACTATTGAGCTCTCAGGAAGAAAAAGTAAAGAACTTATGGACAAGTTCAGGTGATTAAATTTTGTCATTCTTAAGTATGGTACATTAATTGGGATAAGTTTTGTGGGTTTGTGCACCTATGATTCACATGGGGTGATATTGTCCTCAAGATCCATTCTTCTGTTTATTCCAATTTTGGACAAGCACAGTGAAAGAGGTGGCAAAGGCTGTTTTTCCAACATCAAAACAAATGAAAATTCTTTTATATCCAACATTAAGTGTACTCAGATGTATCCTAAACTATTCATTTTCCTTGGGTTTAGTATAAAGTAATTATTTGTCCTGATTCCTGAGTAGTGATATTTAGGTAGGTACAGTTTAGCAAGATTGCCAAGAAAGGACAGGACATCTTTGACTTAAAAAAAAATCATCCCAAGGATGTTTTCCTTCAGCCTAATTTAGGCTAAGAAGTATTATCAAATGGAAATATTATTATTTAGATTTTTCTTCTATTTTTTCAGTGAAGGATATTTTGGTACATTAAATGTTGTCAAATTATTTCAATATTTGTTAAATTAGGCAAAATCTCATTTGTCTATCTAATTCAGACAAAAAGCATAATTAACAAAAGTAATATGGAGAGCTTCAGAGGATATTTATCTTTTTAATTTTATATTCTTCTAATATCTTATAAAAGCTACTTTCTCTCTCATATATCTTAAAGTTTATTACCCCATTTAAATGGGGAATTCATTAGAGTAGAAAGAAAAATAAACAAAATTCTAAATTTTAATAATAATGACTACTGGCAATATTTTGTTTTGTCTCTTGTATTTATCTCGTATCAGATTCTGTATTCTCCTGTTTTGTTGAGGAGTCTTGCTTCCATCCCCAGATATTTGTTTTTATTTTGTTTCCCTTTGTGTGTCTTTGTCTGGTTTTGGTATTAGGGCAATATTGACTCTTTATAATGAGTTGGAAAGTGGTTTCAGATCTTTCATTTTTATCATAATATGTAAGGGATTTGATTAACTCTTCCTGAAATTAGTTTATTTCATCATTGAAGTCATCTTGTCCTGGCCTTTTCTTTGTCGGATTTTCAAAAATTATTAATTCAATATGTCGTCAATTCTATTAGCCTGTTATAGATCTATTCAAAATATCTATTTCTTCTTGAGATATTTTACGTAAGTAATTTCTTGGCATGCAGGTATTCATTGTATTGTTCTTTTTTATTTACCTAAATAGTTAATAATGTCATTTCTTTCATTCCTGATTTTACGAATTTAAGTCATTTCTTTTTATCTTGGTCAACCTACTTTAAGTTTTACGAATTTTGTTAATATTTTCAAGATCCAACTTTTGGTATTGATTTTCTGTATTTTTTGTTTTATTAATTTTTATCTTTTATTATTTATTTTCTTTTATTTGCTTTGGACTTGATTTGCTCTTATGTTTTCTTATATGTAAGGGTAGAATGTTAGGGCATTGACTAGAGATCCTTCTCATTTTTTTATATAGGCTTAGTGCTATATATTTCCCTCTAAGCACTGCTTTACATTTAGCTCAAGAGTTTTAATATATTGTGTTTTCATTTTTATTCATCAAAATGTCCTATGTAATTTATTTTGAACTCATTGATTATTTAGGTGTAGTTAATTTCCACTTACCTATGAATTTATCATTTCATTTTGTTACTCCTAATATAATCCTATTATAGTTAAAAGGCATATTGTTACATTTAAGTTAAATTGATTTTGGGTTGTTTTATTACACTCTGTAGGTTAATTATGTTAAACTTAAAACTATAGGAGTTAGAAATGATTACATGTGATGTGTTATCTGTATGATGGTGCATGTCTGTGTGTGTAATCACAGAAGGAATAAATTGCTTAAAATAATTAATAATTTTAATAATTAAAGTTTATTAAAAATAATCTTTGTAGGATGATTTTCAAATATATATTGTTATAATTTTGATTTAGCATCCCTAAATTAAAAAAAACAAAGTAATTTTGTGACATTTAAAATTTTTGAAAAATTAAGATACGTCATTCTGCACAATGCTTGCATCTTGCATGTTCATAGAAGCATTCACACACAAACACACTTTTCAATAAGGAAGAAATGAATCTTACCTTCTGTACAGTAATTTAATCCATATTTTTAAAAGTATGTTAAGGATTTGTTCTTAATAAGTCTATATCGTGAGTTTACATTTTCATATAATGGAAATGTATATAAAAATGTTTTACTTAAGAATCACAGAAAATTAAAAAAAAATCCGTAATTCAGTTTAAATGTCTTACATGATTTTGTGGGTAAATGCATATGCAATATGATATTTTGACTCTGACTCACTGTTTAACACAGTCAACAATTAAATACTTAGAAATCTATTTATTAATGTTTAGATTGTGGCTCTTCCAGGATTCTAGAAATTGATTATACAATTATATTTAGATGTGTGTGTGTGTATATATATATATATATATATATATATATATATATATATATATTTATTTATGTGTAGTTATATACTTTGCTTAATATTTTGAATCATTCTAAATTGAAAGGGAAATTTTCTCATTGTACTGGAGTGTAATTTAGTACAGCAATGAAAAGAACATGTAAAATACTGCAGAGACAGCACACCCTATGAGAATTTACTTTATGAATTAGTGCCAGCAAGGCAAGATTGATTTTCTGAGTTCCAGTCATTTCAAATGCCCTTTACTCTGTTTAAAGTTAGGTATAAGTTGTTTGTCTTTGTGTGAGTATATGTGAAAATGTAAATAGCCAATGGGTGCTCTTTTGGTGAACCATATAATAGGAAAATGTGAAATCAGCCAGAAGAGTTGATTTATTTCTAGTTGTAACCCTTTTCAACACTGCACCAGATTTGAGCACAATCAAAAGTACTGTTGGTAAATAGCCTAACATTACATCTCTAAACCCTAGAAAAGGAAGAACAAATCAACATCAAAAGCAGTAAGAAGACAGGAAATAATTAAAATCAGAGCTGAAATCAATGGAATTGAAGGAAAACAAAAAAATCCAAAAAATTAACAAATACTGTGACCAGCGTGGCCAATCTAGCAGGTTCTGGCGAGGGGTGGAGGGGGATAAGAAAAATAAGAACTCACACACGTTCAGATGTTTTTGAAGATAAAGCTGGGGTTGGATGGAGTGCTACTCTCTGATGGAGAAGCAGGCCTAAAGAGTTTTGGCAACAATCTTTATATATGTCTCTTCATCAGGTTAAAGACTATTCAAGCATTATTCTTTGTACTCAGAAAGTTACAGGGCTAGAAACATTATAAAGCTTTTCTGCAGTTACATTCTACAGTTGCAATATGCAATGTTGGGAGCTTTGTGTAGCTCTCAAGAAAGTCCATTGTTTAATGTTACTGTTAGGCGGGCAGTTTCAGGAGTAGCAGAGCTAGTGAAACATTATGGTTGTCTAGCAAGAAAGTTCCTTTATTCCCAGGAGCTATGTGCCTGGGATCAAGGTCAAGACTGATAAGACTCTAGCACAGAGCATCCTAGTGGAGAGCATTACCACAGCAGTGAGGCATCCTGCACCTTTGCACAGAAACATTCCTAGGCACCACGCATGCCACAGCCATGAGGTCATCAGAGACCTCAATTAATTCTTTGAAAAAAAATAAATAAAATTGATAAACCCTTAGCCAAGATAACAGAGAAAGAGAAAACTCAAATTACTAAAATATTTGATAGATAAGGAAATATCATGGGGCTGGGGTTGTGGCTCAGTGGTAGAGTGCTCTCAATTAGTATGCATGAAGCACTAGGTTCGATTTTCAATACCACATAAATATAAAATAAAAATATTATGTCTACCTAATGCTAAAAAATATTTTTTTAAAAAGGAAATACTACAATGGACACTACTGAAATATAAACAATAGAAATTATTTTGAAAATTCATACTCTAATAAAATAGAAAATTTTGAAGACATTGACAAGTTTCTAGAGACATGTGATCTACCCATATTGAATCAGGAGGACATTGAATATTTAAACAGATTAGTTTCAAGCAATGTAATTAAAGAAGCCATCAAAAGCCTACCAACAAAGAAAACCTCAGTACCAGATGGATTCTCAGACAAGTTCTATCAGACATTCAAAGAAGAATTAACACAA